TCCAGTACAGAAATATCAAAGTTTCATGTCAACTTATCTACACTGACAATTATTAAGTTGCCTTATGTAGTGTTAATATGTTGACTTGAAGATTTTCTCTTAACTTTAAATTTTTAAATGATTGTAGACTCAAAATGAGATGCAAAAATAGTACTGGAAAGTTCAGAGAACTTATCCCCAATTTAGCATTTTACATACTTGCAGTACGTTATCAAAACCACAAGTCTGTGGGAGGAGGTACAGTTGATACGTGAGTTAGTATACCTGCACCCCACCTTGGAGTGCCTGGCTTTGATGTCCAGCTCTGGCCTTTGAATCCAACTTCTTCCTAATGCAGACAGGGGAGAAATTGGGGTGCAGGAGGTAACTGGGGTCTCGCTAACCATGAGGGACAGCTGCATCAAGTTCCCAGCTCCTGGCTTCAGCCTGGTCCAGTCCTACCCACTGTGGACATTTAGGAAGTGAAACCGTAGATAGAATCATGTGTTTGTTCTCTCTCTTCTTCTCAAATGAACAAATAAATATGTAAACAAAACACCACACAATTGACACTAGTATAATATGAAGGTGCCTCAAAAACTTGTGGAAAAATAGAATTGAAAATATGCACATTTTTTCTGCAAAGAAAAAACTGAATCCGTGCATAGATTTTCTGTAACATTCATTTTCAATGAGTTTTTTGAAGACTGCTCATTGAAAAAGAATTCTTACTACACTGAAATTTAAGTATTGAATTAAGCAGTCAAAAAAAAAAAAAAGGTGAATAAGTTGTAATGTTACAGAGAAGATAGAAAATTTCCTTAAAGAGGAAGGACAGTTTTTCTTTTTTGTTGGTGGGTAATATGCTGTCTAGTACCTAAAGTTGGTTTTAAGAATGTTTCCATTAACTGTTTTTTATTTAAAATAAGCATTTGAGTAAAGTGAGCAAGCAGCTCTTTTCCTCAAAAATGACCTGTTTCTTTATGGAATAACACCCAGGAATTTATTCAGTAAATCCCAATGGTGACTTTGCATAAAAGACCTTTAAATAGGATTAAGACCTATATGGTAAAGAAAATGTTACCAAAGTCTACAAAAATATTTAATTTTACACGTTCTCTTTTATGACAGAGAACAGCACTGATTCTGTTATTTTGGAAATAAATAAATGATTTCTTTCGTTTTTTTTTTTTTTGACAGGCAGAGTGGACAATGAGAGAGAGAGACAGAGAGAAAGGTCTTCCTTTTGCTGTTGGTTCACCCTCAGCACCGCGCTGATCCGAAGGCAGGAGCCAGGTGCTTCTCCTGGTCTCCCATGGGGTGCAGGGCCCAAGCACTAGGGCCATCCTCCACTGCACTCCCTGGCCATAGCAGAGAGCTGGCCTGGAAGAGGGGCAACTGGGATAGAATCCGGTGCCCGATGGGGACTAGAACCCGGAGTGCCAGCACCATTAGGCAGAGGATTAGCCTATTGAGCCGCGGTGCCGGAAGCAGCCACTTTCAAGGCTGTGTTGGGGTCCTGCCTTCCTTCCTCTCTGCAGCCTCCTTTCCTCTTGCTGGCGGCTCCACTTCCCACCCAGCTCCCTGCTATGGCCTGGGAAAAGCAGCGGAAGACGGCCCAAGTGCTTGGGCCCCTGCACTCACGTGGGAGACCTGGAGGAAGCTCCTGAATTCCACTCGGCCTTGCCCTGGCCATTGTGACCATCAGGGGTGTGAACCAGCAGATGGAAGACCTCTCTCTCTCTGTCTCTTCCTTTCGTCTGTAACTCTGCCTTTCAAATAAACAAATTTAAAAAAGTCAAGCTGAGATTACCAACAGCAAGGATATAAAATGTGGAGGGGTTACGACAAGATTCACTTAGCATCAAGTACCGGTGTGTGAGGTTAGGCAATGAAATTAGTGTGTAGAGAGGTTAATTTTATTTTGCTGTTGATATTCAGAGATCGCTTTTTGTCAAATTTGATTTGACATCTTAATTCTGTAAAATATTGAAACACCCCCAAAGTCAAATTTACAGAAGCAGATGTGCTCAAACAAGCCCAGCTTCTAAGTCTGCGGAAAGACTGTGTAGTGAGTGAGCATCTCTCTGTGAGACTGTCCCCACAACGGCCTTCCCCACCCCCAGCCTGGCCCCGCCCTCAGGACAGCTCCTCTGCCCTCCTCCCTCTTCTTGCTGGTCCCCACACTGCTGTGCAGCAACTTCCTCTCATTCTTTTGTTACAGTAATTAACTGGTGACACTTTTTTTTTTTTAAGATTTATTTATTTATTTAAAAGGCAGAGTTACAGAGATGTAGAGACAGAGAGAGATCTTCCATCCCCTGGTTAACTTCCCCAGATGACTGCCATAGCCAGAGTTGAGCCACTTGAAGCCAGGAGCCAGGAGCTTCTTCAGGGTCTCCCATGTGGGTGCAGGGGCCCAAGGATTGAGGCGTCTTCTAAAGCTTTCCCAGGCCATAGCAGAGAGTTGGATCGGAAGAGGAGCAGCTGGGACTAGAACCAGCGCCCATGTGGGATGCCGGCACTGCAGACGGCGGCTTTACCCGCTATGCCCCAGCTCCAGCCTTCCAGTCTTTCGCTTCATAAACAGATGACGATGGATTACCTACAGCGTGATACAGTCACGCCACCAACGCCAGGCAGAGTTCAAAAGAAGTAAATCGATTCTTGGAAGATGTTCAAGATGTACTGTTTTGATTTACAAGCCAGGGTAGCTATATTTTCAACATAAGCATCGTGGCGCCGAGCGTGGCTGGCGCGCTGGAGGGTGCAGCTGGCCGGGCCCCTGGGCGCAAAGGCGGCGACGCCCATCCCGATGCTTCGTTTGGCTGCCTTTGGCTCCGCCCGCCAGCAATGAATAAAACTGCCATCCCTCAGGAAGTGCAGGGCTCAAAAGAGACTCAAGAAAGAGACTACTTAGAAAGTGTGTGTTTTCCCCATTCACATTTAGACCACTTTTATCAGGATGTATAAGCATGGAAAAAGAAACATTTTTCATGTCATTAATTTAATAATATTAAACAGCAGAAGTGGTGAAAATAGCCAATGGTGGCGGGGATAAAACCTGTGCAAGGCTGAAAGAGCTAAAAATAAACTCCAAACATATTCTGGACAGCAAAACCCGAACATTCCCACTAAGTTATTGTCCTTGAAAAAGGCAGGAAAATAAAAAAGATAACAAATTAGTGCCAAAAAGCCACCACTGATTAACCATGAAGGCATTTGGAAAATGGAAATGTGGAAAAATGCAAAAGGCTGCTTTAAACAGGACAGCCAAATCACTTCTGAATCTGACTTGGAGAACAGCTTTAAGGCTTTCTGTTATGCACACCGTGGTCTGGGCCACCGTGCAGGTGCTGGACTCTGGCCTTTGGATTGGACAGAAGCGTCCCAAGGAGCAACTCCACTGGCCACTGGCTGCGCAGCCTCCGCACCCCTTTAACACCAGAGCCCTGTTAGCTCTGAGCACTCAGGGCAGGACAGGGCAGGTCGAGTTGTCTGGCAGGGGACTGAGCTTCTCACTTGCTGCCCCTCCAACTACTGAAAACAAACAAACAAACAAAAAAACTGCTCAAAAAGACGCGAGCAGAAAATCAGTAAAAGAGACAGGAGAAATCTCACACACATTTAACGAAAGCAGCAAACTTCAACAGGGAGAAAAATTTCCAACAACAGTGCTGGAATTTACCTTGTGGGAGACAGCCCTGCCCCCTGTTTTAGACTCAGCTCCGCGGCTCACTAGGCTAATCCTCCGCCTTGTGGTCGGGGCGCCGGATTCTGTCCCGGTTGCTCCTCTTCCAGTCCAGCTCTCTGCTGTGGCCAGGGAATGCAGTGGAGGATGGCCCAAGTGCTTGGGCCCTGCACCCCATGGGAGACCAGGAGAAGCACCTGGCTCCTGGCTTCAGATCAGCACAGTGTGCCGGCCGAAGCGCGCCGGCTGCGGCGGCCATTGGAGGGTGAACAAATGGCAAAAAAGGAAGTCCTTTCTCTCAGCCGCAGTCAGAAACTTGAAACAGGAGTGGTATAATTCTTGGAACAGGAAGTGAGTGGTAAAGCCTGACAATGAATTAACTCAATTACCTCAGCGCGGCCAAAAGTTCACCCTCCCTTCCACCCTCCACCGGACTTTTAAGCCAATAACCGCTCGCTCTGGTTTGTAAAGAGGGGAGGAGCGGCGGCGTTGGGGTGCTTAAATACCAGGGCTCACACGCCTCCGAGCTGACACTCACTCCAGGATGGAGCTGCTGCCTGGGCACGGCTTCTCTTCCCTGCTGCTTCTACTGCTGCCTCTGCTGGCAGCTGGGCTCTGGGCACCGCCGGCTGGTGAGTGCTTTCAGGGCAGGGCACAGGGCAGGGAGAGAGGATGGGGACCTCCTCGCGGGCCTGCGCTTCTCTGTGGAGGCTTCTCCCAGAAGTCACAGGAGGAGGATGGGAGGGGGTGTGGAAACTGCTGGAGCCCCAGCCCCGTCCTGGGGAAGGTGGGCGCTGAGCCAGGGTGCACGCGGATGAGAGCGCACCCTGCCTGGAGGCGACTTCGGCCATCCCCCGACCCCGCCTGCAACCACAAACTCCCCTTCCAACCACCAGCGCCTACTTGCTATGGCACCTCTCAGCGCCTACTTGCTGTGGCACCCCTCACAGCCTCATCCTGACACTTCCCTCCTGAGTTGCTGAGTCCCTGTGAGCCTCTGAGCCAGTCTCAGCACGGGACCAGGAACGCCGGGCTTCCAGTCCAATCTGTCCCTTTCTCATCTGGCAGGTCCTGACTTCTCCCCTACCTGATGGTGATGGCGATGGCGCCTATCCCCTGCCTGAGGCCGTCCCAGGCAAGAACACCCCCAGCCCAGGACCCTAAGTCGAAGGAGTGGGGACACCATCCCCCCACCCCCAACCTGTGTTCAGGCACCTCACCCCCAACCTGTGTTCAGGCACACTGTGTGTGTGAGAGTCAGCAGTGGATTCTGTCCTGTGGTGGCTTTTGGTGGCCGCAGGGAGAGGAGTGGGGTCCTGTGGTTGCAGCGTTACTGCTACTCCTGTGCTGTCCAGCGGAGTCCTGGGTCCACATGGGGACACTCCCTGCAGCCGAGGGGTGAGCTCACCTCGGAGTGAGTGGTGCTGCCTTGCACTGGCATCAGTGGACAGGCTCCCTGCTCCTGCACCCCAGCAGGAGTTCGTCAGAGGCAAGGGGCATGGGTGGCTCCAGCTCAGGAAACTGAAGATCTGGGCTCGAGTTCTGTGATTTACCCAGGACCAGTGTCCATGGGATGCGCGTGGAGATTGCGGTTCCTGGTGGTGGATGTTGGAGTCCTCGTGTGCTTATTCCCCGAGTTACCCAGGCTTTTCTACAACCAGAGTCCTGCAGTAAAAGCTGTTGCTGTCTCTCACTGTAAACCTGTGACTGCCTTGACCTTTCCTAAGAAAGAGTTTCCTCTCCTCTCACTGGGTCCCGCTCAGTGCTGCTGTTTTCAGTCCTCGTCTGGACAGGAGATTTGGCCTCAGGTGCGGGTAGGGGAGGCGGTCATCATCCAGCCACTGTGCTAACTGCTTCTGCCAGCTTCTTCCCGGTGTGTGGTGTCAGCCCTGGTTGGGTCCACGTAGGAGCATGTGTGCGTGCACTCAGGTGACAGGTGCACTCCTGTATGTCCACCTGTCTGTTCACACTCTTCTCTGTAGGACCCCCCAGCTGACTGATCTGCCCTGATCGCCCACTCCTGCCATACTCTGGAAACCGTGTTTCTCAATGCTTCCCTCCTATGCACACCTGTCTTGGTCTTTCTTTTGCCTCTTGGAGTCAGTTCGGCTAGAAGCTCGGAGAAGACAGTGGCTGTCCAGGGACCACCCACACCAGGCTTCCCCTGCTGCTGCCTGGGCCAGCATCGTCTGCGCCAGCTTTCTGGAATGTCCATGTGGTTTGCACTTTCTTATCACGTGGTGTCGGAGTTTCTGTTCAGATGCGTGTGAGCTTAGGTACTGTGTATGCTTACACAGGACTCCTGTCACCAGCCCCCTCCGAGTCTAGTGGGCCAGGTGAGGACGCTGTGTACTTGGGCAGAGAACCTGAATGAATTACAAGGAGCACAGGTGGCAGAAAGTCGGGAGCCAGTGATGGAGTTGCAATGGCGGGAATTGATTTCCATGCGTCCCATCCCTGCCCTTCAGGTGGGCTCCTTAGACTTGGAGCTGGGGGAGAGGTTGAGTGTGAGTCCTTTCTCATCCCCACGCCTCACTCGTGTTTCTCTTCCACAGATGCTCACTCCCTTTGCTACAACATAACTGTCAATCCCAAGGCCAGACCCAGACAGCAACGGTGTGATGTTCAAGGTCACGTGGATGACAGGATGATTCTGCACTGTGATTGCAGCTTCACTCAGATCAGCTTTTTTGACCCCCTTGGGAGGAAAGTGGATGCCATTGACAACTGGGCAGAGCAGACAGAAATGCTGCGAGATGTGGTGGACACCCTCAATCAGCAAGTGGCTGAAATGAAACATTCCACAAGCAAGGGTGAGCCTGAAAGTCCCTGGGCAGAGGGCAGGTTTGTGAATAAGGACTGAAGATTTCCATGTGCAGAAATGGATACTGGGGTTCCTTTGGAGGCCCAGCAACAGGGCAGGAGTGGTAGGACATCAGGGCGAGGCGATGAAAAGGGGACGGGAGTGGAGGATCCCAGGTGGGGCAAAGGGTCTGTCAAGACTGATCTGGGCACGGGGAATTTCTTATGTTCCTGTGAAGTTGCAAGTTGGCCCCACTCAAGTGCCCCAGGAGGAAGTGCAGGATGCAGAGGACAGAGCAGTGCCAGGAGATACCAGAGGGACGGTTGGGAGAAGTGGATCCCAGGTGGGGCAGAGGACCTGTCAAGACTGATCTCTGACAATGTCTTTCCAATGGGGGCAGATCCCCCGAGCTTGCAGGGCAGGATGTGCTGCTGGTGTGGAGCCAGCGGCGGCAGGCACGGGTCCTGGCAGTTCAGCTTCGATGGACAGATCGGCCTCCTCCTTGACCCAAACGCCAGAAAGTGGACAGAGGTTCATCCTGGGGCCAGCTGGAATAAGACGACCTGGGAGAATGACAGGCAGCTGACTGAGTTCTTGCGGAAGGTGTCCATAGGAGACTGCCCAAGGTGGCTGGGGAAATTCTTGTTGCCCTGGAAGGTGATGTTGGAGACTACAGGTAACTAGGGATAGGGGTGGCGGGAAGGGGTGCTCTCTGGAGATGAGATGACGCCACCGTAGTGTGTGCATGCAAGGTGTGGGTGCTGTGTGCATGTGAGTGTGTTGTACCCGGGTGTGTGTGCATGCGAGGGTATGGGTGTGTGTGCATGTAAGGGTGTGGATGCTGGTGCGTGTGGTGTGGGAATGTGGGTGTGTATGAATGAGAGTGTGGGTGTGACGATTTATGTGTGCTGTGTGAGCCTGTGAGTGTCCTGTGCTATGTGTGTGCCAGGGTAGGGTGCTGTGTGCAGGTGTGTGTGAGCCTGTGTGTTTGAAAACACGATCCAGTGTGATGTGCCCCTCCCTATGACAACAGCAGCATCCACCGCTGGTGCTTCCCTCAAAACCTCTTCCTCCTCCTCCCTGCTCCATCTCTTCCTCAACGGGGGGTATTTCAAGCCCCCTCACCGGGCCCCTCCTTGCTGGCATCCACCCATGCCTGTCGCTGTTTCTAGACCTTCTCCCATCGCCATCCCCTCTTCCTAGAATACCAGTTCTCCCATTTCTCTGCTCTCTCTCTTTGGTCCTTCAGAACCATCTCCAGGTCCAGCTCCTGCCCCCCTTCCTGGCCACCACCCAGGAGGGATGGTCTGCATGGTTACCCTGGCTTCCTCTCTGGCAGATCTTTCCCATCCTCCCTCCGTGCTACTCCAGGACCTGTCACAGCAGCTGCTCAGTATAGGTGCCAGCTGTGTGCACGGCTGCCTTTAACAGGAGCAGGAGCTGGAAGGCCTCTCCTGGGGTTTGGAGTCTGGATGGGGGCCTCCATGTGGGGAGCAAACCGGACTAGACTGTTACTGGAATTAAGACTTATTCTATGCATCTGCTCTCCCACAATATGGCGCTGGGAGAGAAGTAAACAGCTTCCGCACAGCTGCCTCCAGTTCAACCAATTAACTGTAGGACTTGCTCCTGATTGGAGAGCAGCGTACTCGGCGTGTGGGCAGCCGAGTTGGGATTGGCGGAGGAGGACTATAAAGGAGGAGAGAGACGGCATGCACCGGGAACATCTAAGGGGAACATGTAGCTGAAGGAACACCTGTGCAGCCCCCGAGAGAACCGGCCGGCGGTGTGCCGCTCCCCTGCGGAAGTGGGGAATGCGGCCAGGGGGAACTGCCCTTCCACGGAGGTGGAAGGGATAGTAGCCAACCCGGGAAGAACCAGCAGCAAACCCGGGGAGGGCCGAGCAGACGAAAGAACAGCGCAGGGTCCTGTGTTGCTCCTCCACGAAGAGGGGGAGCGACATAATGGTGCCGTGACTCGGATATGAAGCCTAGGCAGGGTTTAGTGTCGTTCCTCCATGAAGAGGGGGAGCGACACCTCCAGTCTTCTGCTTCCATTTCAGCGTGGCCACCCACAACCTTAGGAGTAGTTGCATCCAAGGCCACGGCCACCATGCCCATGCCCTGGGCCTTTTTCCTGCTCCTCACCAGCTCAGTCCTCCTTGTCGTGCAAGGGGAGCCATTCTGAGTGACAGGTATGGAGGGCAGCATTGGGAGGGAAGCAGAGGGCAGATGGGATTGGCTGGGATGATGGCAGAGGGAATTCCCCAAGTCCAGTCCTGTCCCCTGGACTGCACTGTCTCATTCTGGAAATGAGACGAGGAAATCAGTCCTCATGTCCCTCAGAAGCATTAACTGGGACCAGCTCAGCCCTGAGTTCTAATGAATTCTCACTGTCAGGAGCCAGCCTGGTGGAGGGGGGGGGGCCCTTTCCTACACCAGGTTCAGCAGCTGGTTCATGGCCTGTGGGTTGAAGAAGGCTTAGCCAGCTCAGGATTGTGTAGCGCAGATTCAGGGCCCAGTCACGGGATATTGGGGCACAGGAACACAGGCACAGGGTTTGTGGGCAGCAAGCAGCATGGACGCTCCACTCGAGGAGTCGTTGTCAGAGATTCCATCCTCAAAGCAAAGAGGATGCTGACCCCTTCCCAGGATGAGGGGTGGGAAGGATTTTGTAACCCAGCTCCTAAGGCAGAGGGCAGGGCGTTCCTGGTACCAGAGAACCTGTAAAAGGTCTTGGTCCCCCTGCAGGAAGAGAACTCTGGGATGCTCCAAGGTTAAAATGAACAAGCAAGGTCTGTTGTAAGCAAAGTCAACTCTCAGGGCAGGAGAGCGGGTGGGCAGGTGTATAGCATCTGTGCTGAGAATCTGAGGAAGATTCCTTCTTTATTGCATCTGATGGGGGGGGGGGTGGAGAATTCCTGAGATGGGAGGAGGACTCTAGGAGTAGCCGGGGCTGTCCTGGAGCAGGGAATCACCTGTCTTTTCTCTAACCAGGGCTTCTCCCATCTGTGATGCTGGAATCACAACCACAGTGACCGCACTGCTGACATGACACTGCCTATCTGGACATTCACCACTGGGTGCCTTTGGAGTTGTTGGGCCGTGGAAAGTGCTTGCAGCCCTCTTGGGCCTCTGGGGTCTACTCACGTCGAGCTGTGTGCACTGAGAGCTCCCCTACCCAGGGACTTTGGCCTCTGACTTCTTCTTCTGGGAAGCAGGACAAGCCTCTGTCTCCTGTGACCTCATCAGGCTGAGGAAGGATGTAGGCCCTGCCTAGGCCAGGAGCCCAGATTCCGTGCTGAGTGGTCCAGAGTCTTTATATGGAAGCGTTAGGCTTGAGGGAACAAGGGAAGTCCTAGGAAACTTGGTCGAAGAGACCCTTTTATTTTTTAAGCTTTGTATCATTGACACCTGGAAGAGCCCAGTTTAAGATCCAAGTTATAAAGAGAAACACGGAATATAAGAAGGAGAGTGACTGCAAGCAGCCGTGCCAGTGAGAGTTTGAATCCAGACTGCAAGACACTGCCTGTGCCCTCCTTCTCGTGTTAGTTTTTTACCATTTTGTTTTTATGTATTGATTCTGTATTTTAACCTGTCATGAGCCATTAGCCCAAGTTCAGGAACATTGGTGCTATGACTTGGATCACATCTCTTCACTATTTGTGCTTGTCATTCCCTGTTCTACCAATGGCCCAGCGACCCAATGCAGCGCACTCCACTGTGGGAGATCCCGTGAGACTGCCTGCCTAGCCCATGCAGTTATCTGAGTGCTGGCAGGCCCAGGAGCCCCAGGAATGTTTCCCCCAGCCCTGCCTCTGCCAATCAGGTAAACCGCTCCTGGGTGTGGCCCAGGCCCACCTGGAAAGCTAGGAGCCTATGTGACCTTCAAGCTGATTGAGAAGCATAGTGGCACCAATACCACCTTCAGCTATAGAATTAGTGCTGCCCTGAATCAGTTAGGTGCCCTCTGCCTGCCCTTTACAAGGTGTGCTTGGTGCTAATAAAGCTGTCGTGTGCCCTGAAACTTGTCTCCGGTGTGTCTTATGGAAGAGTGCTGGTGCCCCACCCATGCAGACAGTGCGCGGGACTCCCAGGATGAGCCCGCGACTGGCACCCAATGTGAGGTGTGAATGCAGGTGCAGGCCCACAATGCCTCTCTGCTAGGTGAAGAGGGTACCTCTGTCCCCTTCTAGGGACTGCAGACACAGTCGTTGGCTCCCCATGTGGACATGGTTAATAATGGCTGGCCAAGGTTTCTAACTTTACTTATCTTTCTACCTCCACACTGTCCCTTATGTGTGCACTGTGTTTGAGCACCATCCCAGGAAGGAAGCTCCCATGGGGATAGTGAGACTGCCCTGGGCACCTGGTCGCAGCATAGGACCTGGATCAGAGAGTGCATGCTACTCCATCCCTGTAGGCTGGGCCTTCCAGCTGCTCCAGGGAAGCTGGATAGGGAGCTTGGGGGATGCATGCCAGGGGGAGGGGTGCATTCCTAGGGAGCCCAGGTGAAATCTGAAACCCCAGACTCCTCTCTCCCCAGTTTCAGGCTAGCTTGGGTTCCTTGCAGGACAGAGCCACTCTCAGAACACCTACCTGGCTTTTTAAGGGCTTGGCCTCACCCTGCCAGAGGAAAAAGCGAGGCTGCTCTGTGGCTTGTAAGCTTTTCCACTCTAAGCAAGCTCTCTAGGATGGATCATTTGTGTTAGCAGCCTTCATTTACGTTTTGACAAATTTATATTTTGATGGGATTGAGGATTTTGCCAACATTGGACTGAAAAAAATAATTAGTGTGACAACATAGGAGATGGTATATCAAATAGACCCCAAGGGCCGACAAATGTATTTTGAGCTAGTCAGTGTGTCTCAGAATGGCAGATACAATAAGAATTGAGTTTATTATTTTAGAATCAGTAGGACAAGCAGAAAAATGACAAAGGATCTTAAGACCACATTGCCAAGGGAGGGAAGTTGAAAACTATTGATGTTGGTGGATAGCAAATGCTGAAGGTAGTAGCACCGTAGAGGGAAAATGAGGGCAAACATAACTGGTTGGACTCCTGCATGCACACGGGCAATCTAATATGGAATGGTTGGGCGCGGTTCCAAGATGGCAGAATAGGGAGGGAGCTTACTGATCTAGTCCAGGAGATGATAATACAAAAAGTGGAGATAGTATAGTCTCAAGGAAGAGTTAGGGACAAAACGGCAGAGGAAGCTATTCTGAAATTAAGGGACACGATGGACCTACGTGGAGGGTGTGGGCACCCACAGCTCGGGACTCCAGCTGCTGAGTGCCTCTGCACCAGCGCTGGAAAGTGAGGTGAGGTGACACCGCAGTAGCTGGAGACACTGGCAATAAGCGGCAGGAGGGGCTGGCACTGTGGCTCACTTGGTTAATCCTCTGCCTATGGTGCCGGCATCCCATATGGGCACCGGGTTCTAGTCCTGGTTGCTCCTCTTCCAGTCCAGCTCTCTGCTGTGGCCTGGGAGTGCAGTGGAGGATGGCCCAAGCGCTAGGGCTGCTGCACTCGCATGGGAGACCAGGAAGAAGCACCTGGCTTCTGGCTTCATATTGGCACAGCTCCGGCCGTGGTGGACATTTGGAGGAAGACCTTTCTCTCTGTCTCTCTCTCTCTCACTGTCTATAACTCTACCTGTCAAATTTTTAAAA